TGCATCTGCATCTAGCTTTTTTTTTTTTTTTTTTCTTTATTTTACCCCCTCTCTTACAATTTTGCTTATCGGCAGCATGCTTGGTTACTTACTTAGTAACATCGAAGCAGGCGAAGATCCTGGTGTTTCTGCCCCACAGACCAGCAGTTTCTTTTAGTCTTATTTTTAGTTGGGAGAGCCAATGAAGAAAAACAGAGGTTAAAATTAAGTAACAAAAAAGGCTCCCGCCCCGCCCAACCCTGCCGCGCCCCGACGATAGCCGCGCCTCCGCTGCACGCTGATTGGTGCGGCGACCCTGGCTCTGGTCGGCTCGGTGGGATTCCGATTGTCCTTCTAGAAAGCCTTGTTACATTGTACCCGAGTATATTGCCACTTATCTCTTTTCTGGTCCTTTCATGACTGCCACAAATGACTGATCATTAGCTCATCGTTTGCTCGGCAGCTAATCGCTCGCTTCTGATTGACGGAGCTTTGCTGACCTCGTTGCATCTCGGTCTGCAATGAAATTGATGCCCCGCGGCGATGCTCCACCCGCTGCAGACCATCCGCCTTGCCACCCACTGCCTTCTCGGTTCTCCTTGTTTGCGGGTTAGCGTCTGTTTCAACGGTGACGGAGAACCGAGTTATCCGCGTCGAGTGTGAGTTATGAAGCGTATTGGTAGGCTGCATATCAGGTACCGGTCGGTGTCTTTGGGTCAAGGTCACTCACACTATGTCTTTCCTCGATGTCTTCCAGAAGAGCTTAAAGTTAGAAGTACTAGTAGATCCGAATAGCTTGGACCTAGTAGCTTTCAATTAGAGTCCAAATTTCAGACATATCCTCGGCAGCGTTTCATTGGCAATATGCTTGTTTCTACCTGCATCGCAGCCAAGGCCGAAGCCGTTATATATATATATAATGTTCTCCACAGATGCTAGTACTATCGAGCGGCTCTGAGAACTCCGTGACATTAAATGTTCGCTCTCGCTAGGCTCTACCTAGTACAATGGCTGTCACTTAGAAATTTCCCAGGTGATCTCTCACCGCGCAGTATACCCTCCATCAACCGGAACCACGGCTCCCGTCATCCAGCTGGCATCCTCGCTCGCTAGCACCACGGCCACTCGCGCAATGTCATCCGGTAATCCAGGCCCATTAAAGGGATGTCGTCGGATCAAGTCCGCCGCGGCGTGCATATACTCCGTTGTCTCCTCATAGATGGCTGTCCGGGTATCTGCATACCTTGTCAGTCACCGCTCACAATAGAGTCAACAGTCAACAATCTGCAAACACGATAAGAGACCTACATCCCGGACAAATAGCATTCGCATGAATGCGATCGCGCGCATAATCCAACGCCACCTGACGCGTGAGATTGCTGACAGCCCCCTTGGAGGCACAGTAAGATGCTATCACAGCTTAGCATGATCGTCACCAACCTTGTCGCATCTGGAACGGGTTAACCTACGATTCTCTGTCGCTGCCACGATCCCAAGAATGGATGACAGATTGATGATCCATCCCCGATCGCCCGAAGGATGCGGATCCTGCTTCAGCATCTGTGTGATGGCGTACTTGCTGCCCAGAAAGACCGAGCGCGTATTGATTCGCATGGTAGTATCGTACAGTTCATTGGTGGTTTCATGGATGCGAGCCGGGGTCCGAGATTCAAGAGAGACCCCTGCATTGTTGACCATACTGCGAATAGGTTGTCAGTTGTTTCGGTTGCCGAGATAAGGGGACTTCTACAACAAACATACATATCCAATCGACCAAACTGTTGTGCAGTCTTCAGCACTGCATTTTCCATCTGGGATGCATTGCCCACATCCGTTTGCAGGAAGAAAGCCTGCCCGCCCTCTTGACTGATCGCATCGTGGGTAGTAATGTCCAGTTCGTTCGGCACCGGCGAGCGTGCAGTCGGAGTGATGTCCGCACAGGCAACCTTGGCTCCTTCCCGAGCATAACGCAGAGCGATGGCCCGTCCAATGCCCGAAGACGAGCCTGTGACGAGAGCAACCTTGTTGAGGAGACGCATGATGGCAGTGACAGACTCTAAGGACTATGGAGCTTCACCCGACAGAGAAGAGGGAAGGGATCAACCTCATATACCGACACTCATGAGCCCTCGTATCGAGGGACAGACATCGTCGACCGAGACGAGCTCGATGCATTCGTATTCCTGCAGCTGATGAGTGGTCAATGGCGAGTTCTGCTGCATGATACTGAGGGGGGTTGACTTGTTGGTGGGAGTTGTGCGGGGTAGAGGCGGTCGATGCGACCAGACAAAGAGACTGAGGATGTCATCCCTTGCGGTCAGTCAAGTCACACAACAGCTTGCTCTCTCGGAGCATATCCGATGCATACTGCATATAGTACCCCGCCTGCTGTCTTCTTCTAGTGTACACTCTCATGGCATCCTAAAGCCCACAATCTGTACGTCTTGAGAATTATATACTCGAAGTAAGTTTAATAGAATACCGAGACAAAGTATCGTGTTTACAGTATCACGGTTCGAGAGTCCCTCGTCCAGAAAGTCATCAGTGACCGTCGGTCACTGCTGTCTCACGTATGGGATTAGCACATTGCAACTTGTCATAGTGTTCCGTTGGAAGCATCGATTGCAATTTTCATGATCAAACACCATGCACTACCGGATATACATGGTCTATGTACTCAGTACCATTCCCCTACAGTCCACACCAGAAGTTGAGAGTGTGTTACTTAAAAAGGCCAGGAAAAGGAAAAGGAAAAGAAAAGAAAGAAATAAGAAAAAAAGTATACAAGCGATAAAACTCCTCTCTCGACATAGCACAATAGCAATAGAGAATCAATTTCCCATCCAGCAAGCTCCCTCGCTACTACTACACATGACAGGCACCATTACCAACACCCATCCCTGCAATCCCCAGATAAACAGAACACATAAAATAATTGCATAGCCACACTCCGACCCCATAGTATCCACTCTCCACGATTCATGTCAAATTACTCCAAATTCCTCTTAACTTACAAAAAGGGGAAAAAATAACAAATAGAAAAAAAGGAAAAAAAGGAAAAAAAGGAAAGACCCAGAGCCGGAAATATCCGCCAGGGATGAAGGTACCATCAGATAGGATGGGGGACGTGCAGGAATGCTCGGGTGCAACAAGTCTAGTAATTGAAAGGGAGAAAACAAAGCCACCCCCTCGATCAGAGGGGCGAGACAAGGAATCGCATCGCAAGAATGCTAGATGCGAACTTTAACGGAAGGAAAAAGATTGAGAGCCTCATATCATTGATGCGTTGTTGATGACATGCCATTCCTATGCATTCATTCATTCAAGTGATGAATGAATGGATGGTCGGTGGATATTCTCGCCAGAGGTATTCTCGGGGCGTTTATGGGGACTGTACTTTTGTAGTACGTATATCCTAATTGTCAATGTGCCTCTTAATGGACAAACAGGTTGAGAGCGTAGTACAACCAGGAATGCTCAGAAACTGTCGTGATAGATATTCGGGATATCCATCTTTGGTAGTAGTATTCGATCCAATGGGTTTCGTAGCCAGTGGCAATGGATTCAGCTCAGTGTATCGACGCATTGACGGCTGGCTTCACGCGCGGCGGTAGTCACGGCTACTGCCACAGCGGCGCTCCCGTCCTGAAGATAGGTTAATGAGGGTTGACTACCAAGGAAAATTAAGATTAGGGTTAGCGGGAGGATGCAAGGCATTACATGTGCTAAGTGACTAATGCATCGAAAAAAGTTTCGAACCTAGAAACAGGGTTCAATTATTCTATCCACAGCAGTATATTAGGTTGCTTCCGTGTGAAGCTTATGTGTAGTGCTCTATTATAACATCCGTTCCCTCCGGCTCTTCAGCGTGACTGTGCAGGGACCACCGATTGCGAAGCGCAGCTAAGCCCGGCCCACTGCTCATTCGAGTGCTCCGCCGGACGCCAACTGAGCGCACCGTCAGGTTGCGTCCGAGTCCAGTGGAGCCAGGGCCCCGGTTCTGCGCGCTCTCTTCCAATTTCAGTACCAGTCCAACCGCCTTGTGGTCTTCCGTGAGCTTGGGCCGTCGCTTGGCAAAATACCGAGCATACTTGTACAGGGACCAGTAGTTGCTTCCGACGTTGATGATGGCGATCATGATCTTGTATGGCATCTGCATTTCCAGGGTTAAGATCCGTTCTATCCGCGAGTCCCAGATATTCATCTTACATAATAGAGAAGAATGACTTTCAAGCTGACCCGCTCCTGCTTAAGTCGTAGGTGGATCTCGTTGAAGATAATGACGTTCAGAAAGTACAGCGCGAAGGTAGCCATGATGAGAACAATGCAGAACCGTGGGCGGACGATGAGGGATATTGGAAGGACGAACGGGGCTATAATGGCAAGGACAGTCTCATATAACTGGTGCCTGTTAGGTCACATCGTTGATGTCGCTAAAGCACTTTCGGGGACGGGAGTCCAGATGGGAGGCAGAGTGGACTTACCTCCTGTAGTACGAATAGTTTCGTGCCGATTTCATATACCCCCAACTTCCACGATTTCACCAGGTAGATTACATTGTACCGCAGGCCGTTCACGAGAAAGAAGTTCCACCGCATAAATCGCTGCTTGAAAACTGTCGTCTCCCCAAACCCACCCCGTCTTTTCCCTGCAGCGAAGAGAAACGAAGGGGGTGCGTGGGTTTCCACAAACACGGAGCTGCACATCTGGATTCTTCCGCCGAGCCGTCGACAACTGTTGCCAAGGAACCAGTCTTCGCTGATGGAAAACCCGGGATGATCCTGCAGCGTTTCTCTCAGGAACGAGCGTTCCCAGAGAGAAATGGCCCCATGAGGGAATGTTGCGCTGCCGATACGTCCGGCAAAGGTGCGCTGCAGCCCCGCCAGCTTGTACTCCAGATCCTGCGCCTGTTGACAGTATGTGCCGGGTAAGGAGTCCGCAGCGACGGCCTTGATCGTGTAGCCAATACAGCGGACGGTGTCGCTGAGGCGGGACACTACAACGGGGAAGTTTGGTGGCAAGATGCAGTCGTCGTCGATGAGAAGAGCATAGCGAAACCGCTTAGCAGCGTAACATCCAACAAATAAGGCGATAATCTTAGATCCGACCGGGCTCCATATGTGATTAACTCCATAAGGACGGCAAACCTCCTCAGTATGGTCAATTGGGCTCAGGGCGTCCCCATTCGCGATCACGAAGATGTGTGATGGAGGGAAGATCTTCACGGCTGCCTCGAGGGTCCGGCCCAGAACCGATGCCGCTCGGTAGCAGGGAATGAGCAACGCAGTATCGGGGGCTGTCGGACTGATGCGGCGACTCTCATAGAACTCGTGATCCGGAGCATCGTCCTCAAAGGTGGCGAGAAGTGGTGTGAACGAATAACTAGGTAGACGCGAGCACGGAACAATAAGCGACGTCTCTTCATGGGCTTCGGATGGGCAGAAACCTACAAAACTGCCAGGCTGATGACAATGGCCCAACCTCCCTGTAAGATGAACTTGTGGCGCATCAACCAATACAGCCAGTAGACGGCCCCTTTCCATAGAGGCATCCCCACCAGCACGAAATACACGAATGCGACATAGATTGTGTACGTGCCATATTCGATCACCAACTGGACCCAGTATCTCCGTTCGTGCTTAATGTTCACCAAAGTCGCCCGGTTATAGAGAGTCCCCAAGCTGCTTTCGCGGGCTCGATCCACCACACCGCGCAACGACTGGCGAAAAGCTTTCGTGGGTTCGCTGGCCCTTCTCGGTTCGATGCTTGGGGGGGTGTCCGGTTTAATGGAAGGCTGTGCACTCACAGCCCGTACTATTCCTGGGTCATCTTCGAGACCTGGGCGATTAGGGTCGATGTATTGCAGCTCAGCAGGATGCACTCCCTGGGGTCCATATGGCGTCTCCACAATCACCTGGTCCTCTAGAAGCGGGTAAATTGTCCCTCGGCCCTCCTCCAAAGTCCCCGAATGACTAGTCTGTCGTCGTCGGGCATCACCTGGGTTCACTCCAGTGGCCGGATAGTTAGCGCCAGGTTTTCTTTGTTTGACAACCGACACCTCCTCTGCTGGGTTGGGGGCAACGGGTTGCTGGAACCAGGGTTGCAGAGACGCCTGATTCCATACCTGCCTGATTGATGCGGCAGCTAGAAGAGATTCCGGAATAACAATCTCTTCTGTGAGGGGCTCATCGATTGGAGCGACCATGCTGCCTGAATGAGACCATTCGATAGAATCAGGGTCATGAGAACAGACCTGAGGAGGCCCCTGGCATAATTCCCAATAAGGGCCAGGGGTCTCTCCTGGGTCAGCATCCTCGGCAGGAGGGGGACTGTGCATATAGGGTGGGTGGTTAGCCTATCGCTACCGCACTCCAGGCCGGCCTTGTGACCTATGACTTCGGTACGCGCTTTGGGTTGTACAGCTTGATCTATATAACGAATCTACTCGAGGATCAGCCGGCGCGGAATGTCTGCAGACCGAATTCAATCCGAATGCCTTTAAAGATGGTTACACCGGTCGAGGCCCGGAGGCCTCTTATCGACCGAGTCATGACATCTACAGGATGGCATGATTGTGTGCATTAACTACCCCATAAGCCATAAATACTGCCCTCAGAGTGTCTAGGCGGAGATCCGAGTCAGCGCCAGGCAGTTTAAAGCATAACTGGTTTGAAGTATGCCAGTCTCCTTGCGCACGGACCGAAGATCCGGGGCATTGGTCTTAGTCCTTCCTTTTATTCTAATCCTACCTTATCTGATATTAGTCAACATATGGGTCGGATTGTTTTGTTTTCCCAGATATTTGAGCGAGCCCTTGGAGAAAGGTGAAAGCTACTTCCGCTGTAATTGAGCCGATTAGGGTGGTCAATTCACTCCACAAGAAAGGGTTGGTTTTGTCACAGTAGACTCTGTTTGGGTTTGTCCTACCAGCTGGTCCTTCAGTTGTGACCAAGAGCTCCAGTTAATTCCTTCAGGCTGCCAGTCCAGCTGAATTGGGGTCGATCTTCTGCCGCCCGCACCTGGCGTCACGGCATCCCCATCGGCGGCAAGGGGTAAACAGGGAGATCGGCAATCCGAGACGCTGGTTTGCTGGGGCCTGCGACAAGACCAGTCCACTGACTCGGGTTACAGGTACACCAGGATGGAGGTGGAAGAAAATGATTGGGAGATTGGGGCGATGGTTTCATCTGGTGGACGGATAATAAACCCGCCCACATTACTGGGCCGCATACCAGATGATGGGATCCGGTATTCTCGCCCTTCTTCCATCGACGTCTCGCTGTGGCTGTATTTCCGCGGATCATCCAGCACCACAGATGGTCACTGCTAATGATCCAGGCATTTCTCTGCTCATACGGAAGGTGAGTTCCGCCAACCGGAGTGAGCTGTATGAAAGAACATCAAAAGCCACAGCTTGTCACTTCCCCATGGGCTTGGCCATTAATGAGGCCAAATGAGTTAGGTACATCGAAGAGGACGTCAATCGATAGCCCAAGTTGTCCGTTATAGGATAGCAGCCGTCTATAGAGCTTATTAATTACACTTGTACCTGCTCTCACATGGAACCATGTTGTGTAACTAATCAATATGTACGCTGAAGTTTAAGCAGTTCATTTGTGAAACCGTTCAAATGCCAGTGGTCTCATCGACTCCGATCACTGTTTATTTACCCGGTTTCCAGTCCCCAAGCTTGGAGGTCCGGCTGCATCTTACGGCCCGTGCCTTCTTGGTGGCACCTCTTGTGTTCATAGGCAGCCGCGCCACCGTTGAAGCGCTTCCATCACTGTCAAAGGTTTGCTGAAAGATGAGGATCTTCGGAGGCGGAGCAATCCAGTACACAGGCTGCCATCCTGCAAGGGACTGCAGTAGAGGTTTTCTGGTCGAGGCTGGGATGATGCGGCCAGGACGAAGACCGATTTCAGCAAACGATGACAAACGATAATTCAGATTATAAACAAGTAGAAATAATATTTGACATAGTAGCAAGCTGAAGAAGGGATAGAGCCACACCAGGTAAGCAATATGGGGATGAATTGCGCGAAACTCAGAATCATCGGGAAGCAGCATACCAGGGAACAGGGAACATCTCAAGCACAGTGTCTCAGTAACATCCAACTAACATCCAATCAGTATTACTGGAGATAATACCCATTAAACCGATCAGACCAATCTTGCTCTCTGTGATCTGACACAATATTCTAGGGATACACTCCAATCTAGGGGACGGGTGATACCGCTCCTCCCTATAGTAGAACCTTGTAGAAACCCCTTCAAAGTGTATGAAGAAACACTCATTGTAAGGGATATGAGCACAGTCCGAACAAGGCAACAGCATGACAGTCTGTCGGGAAAGTCCAGAATTCTGTTCTGGGGCACATGGCTTCGGATCAGGCAACTCGTGTCACTACTTAGTACTTTCACGAGTCCAGGCCGTGCATATCTGGTGTTCATTCTTTCAGACTTCGACTTGTTCCACGAATAGAATCTGAGTTGCAGTCGTAGAACATCCTCGTGGCTTTTCATTATGACACCCTCAGAACCAATTACATGTCGCGGTTGAATTTTCCGTCACAAGGTTAAGAAGCTTTCCTTACACTGTCTGTGGCGCGATAGCCATGCAAGATACTCGTGATGTTGCTAGACCCAGCAGATAGGCATTCTCCATTCCGTAGAGCTATTTTGTGTGGAGCTGAGAGACAGAAGCCTCATCGGTTGTTATCACCGTGTACGGACCTATATGGTGGAAGGTGAGGACAGTCGAGCTAATCATTTGACATGATATCGTGTAACAATTTATCATTATGACAGCGGACATGTGCTAGTATAGAGCCAGTCTTTTCCATGGTTCGGCAGGTGTCATACTCTTCGGGATTTGAAAAGAAAGCAAGGAGTATCCGTTGCGGGCTTAGCAGGTCTTACCCGCTGATTACGCTATGCCGCCATCTCCACGGCATAAGCCCATGAATTCCCCACGTAATTATCCCATTCTTTATGTACAATACGTTAATGAAATGTTTGCCGGTGTCCTGATTGGACTGCAAATCCAGCCATCAGCAATGCATCTTCTCCTGCGGGCATTTCATCTTTTGTACTCATCGTTGCCGTGGAGAAACACTTGACTCAGTGAGTTCGAAACATGATTCAGTCTTGAGAGGTCAAAGCGTGCCTGGTGCTGAGATGTCATGTTCATTTGCCTGTACATAGCCGGCCCATTCCCAAGGGATTCATATTGTGACCTAGAAGCAATAGTGTTAGGACACTCGAAGAATGCTATGAGTGGATTGGGAATCCAAGCACCATATCTCACGGGTTCAGCTGTGGAGAAATGTACCCATCAAGAAACTAGGAGAAGGAAAAGGAATTGACGATAGTCATACCACTTGAGATCACCCGCCTAGCTTTGACGAGCCTGCGATATCGAGGAGATGCGCGTCTGTCAGTGCCCTCGATGGCAGTATGCTTGCCAACGACGTTCCGGAAGTAGATGATGGTAGAGTCAGACTTAATTGAAATGCGAAGGCCGTTCCTGATCTGGAAATCATAGATTCAAAGGAAGAAGGAGCCACCAACAAGGTCAGATGATATCTCTTTCAATGGCCTCGCATCAACATTCACAGAGCATGAACATCTGTAAACATGAGGTACCTCCCAATGTCCGCTATACTGGAACTGCCGGCCAAGGCTGGTCGAGATAACGGCACCAAGTAGGTTCTGTGGCTATACCGCGGCCAATGCTGTAACTAAAATGCGGTCGAAGTTACCAAGAAGATGGTCCTCTGTTCCTCTGTATGTCTCGGATCTGTATGGGGCCTAATATAACTAATTATATATTATTGTCAATGCTTCAACATTTCTCAACCATTCAGTACTAGTACGAAAGGCTTATCTACTGTGTGTTTTGCCATTGAGCTTCCCTTGTAATGTGAAAATGCGGTGTTATGCACAAGTCCAAAATATATACTACTAGTACTACCGGTGCAAGTACAATATCGACAGATAGTATGTGTGCGAGTGTCATCCTCTCCGCACATTCGGGGTTCTCTCAACCTGATTAATCAAGGGGGCATCCTCACGAACTATTCCCAAAATCTTCTTTCTTGATGGTATATAAAGCTATATAATCTGCAGTGGCCTAAGCCTTAAATATGCATAGTTAGACAACATTAGGAGGCCCATAATCGGTCACCAAAGGTTTATGTCAGTTGATATATATATGTTTGCCAAGTGTCCAATACCTGGACTTCGCTCAACTGAGCCTCTTGATTTTCTTGACAAGCGTGTCACTCCCTAACATTAGTGGAATAACTTCCTTACTGTCGCGAGAAATCTGCCACTTTCTCCTGCCCAAAATGCCCCAGAGCCCTTACTGCGGACATGCTCTACCACACTGCATATGACCGAGTGACGTGCACGATCCTGTACTTCCCCAAACCCCATCCCCAACTTGTGGCCTCAACACAACTCATCACTACAATCACCTCAATAAACACATCAATCTCATTTAATTCAGACACAAGTCTCTCTACGATTTATACGCGACAGCCAGATACATCTTCGCCTCATCGACCAACACCCCCTCCGCACCCGCCTCCTCAGCAAACCTCTTGACAAACAACCTCTTCGCCTCATCCCTCACCCCTGAATCACCGAAATTCCGAAACATCGGACTAGAAACAGCCCTTTCAAACACCTCTCCAGCATTAGCAACACTATACACACGATCCTGAAACGACTCCGTCAAGAAAACCGTCTTCACCACCAGCCCTGCCCCCTCTAGAAGCTCCCTCAAAGACCATTCCCCCTGTACCCAACTCTCATCCCACACCAACTCCATCCCCAAATCACCACTAATTCTCTTAAAGATCCGACTAGGAACATGAACATCTCTCGCCGCCACATCCGTCACGATCCTCCCACCAGGCTTCAACCACCGCATCCAGCCCCTAACCGCCCGCCCGGGGTCAGGCAATAACACCAACGCCGCAGCACAAGTAATCAGATCGAAGCCCTCCTCTCCGCGAGGAAGCATCCTCTCTAGTCCGACACCCGATAAATCAGAGATATCATGTTGAAGGAACGTCACATTTGAACCGGTCTGCTGGGCCTTGTGACGCGCCACATCCAGCATGCCGGGACTGATGTCGACTCCGACAACGAGGCCAGATTTGCCGACGGCTTGCTCAGCGAGAAAGGATACCAGTCCTGTGCCGCAGGCGAGGTCAAGCACGGATTCGCCTTCGCGGGGTGCTGCGGTGCGGATGTATGCTTCTGCTAGGGCGCCGTGGTGGGAGGTGTCGTAGTTGGGGCTGCGTTCGTCGTAGATAGATTGGATTATGGATGTTTGGGATGGGGACATGGCTGATAGTAGTAACTAAGAGGGATGTGAGAGTATTTGGTCCTGATGCTGTTGAGGATGAAAGAGCCCGAAAGTTGATGTCAAATCCTCTGGGTGATAGCCATATATACAAGTGAAGATTGTGTCGCTTATGTCCGGTAACTCCGTCTGTGAGGTCATACTAGGTGCTGTCTCTTCCATCCTGGACTTAATGCATCGGAATAGTGACAGTCGTTAACTATAGATGAATTAATTAACAATGCATCTTGCTCCTCGCGCTCACTTCGAACTAGTGATTGGTACAATGGGGCTAAGACGTCTTAAGGCTACTTCATGCTCGGACCATACTACTCCGGACGACCTTGTATGATCGCTCTCAACCTCTTCCTCCGGATGTTTACATTTGGGACTTCGAATAGAAGGGGAAATATTCAAACACTTTAAAATTGTAGTCACCTCTTTTTCGTTATTTGAGACACCATTTCCACAGTCACACTTTGCAGTAGTTCTCTAGGACTGCCCGTTTCAGGAAGAACGATCAGCCGACGCCAACCAACCCTCAATTTCCATTACTACTATCCTATCATTTGGATGTTACTGCCAGTACTCCAGTAAGGCCTCTCCTAGACACTGATATCTATCCTACCACATCTTCTCCCACCACCTTCTCACCCAATGCATCTTTGCCAACTCCGCCCTCCGCCGCTCCAAGAATCCTCCATCTTCCCAAACCCTACACTCAGCATCGACCTCAGCCTTGCCAGAAAATATATCAGCCTTTGCCGGATCCACCCACTTCGTGCCCTGATACACCTTCCAAAACAGGAACATGACGGCCCAGAACGCCACGCCGAAGTACGAAGTGATAAACCCCTCTACACTGAACGGGACAAACACTGTGAACCCATTAAACAGCGTCACCAAGCACCCAATGATCAATGCCACAATAGCTGCGTACGGCTGACACGGCGACGCCCAGGGGAGGAACGTCTTCCGATCGATGCCCTGTGCCTTGAGCGCACGATACCAGGCTAGGAAGACGCAGACCATGCCGGTGTAGGTGAGGATAAAGGCGGTGGTGGTGAGGTCGACGAACCAGTAGAAGACCGTGACGGCAGAGGTATCGGCGACGAGGAATGTGATGCAAGAGAGGAGGGAGACGACGAGAACGCAGTTGATAGGGACTCCGGCGGAGGTACATTTCAGGAGAAAGGCAGGGGCTTGGTGATCGCGTGCGAGCGAGTAGAGGGTGCGGCTGGAGCTGTAGAGGTAGGCATTTCCGCAGGACCAGCCGGCTAGGAGGATGAGGAAGTTGATGAAGCCGGGAAGGCCGTGGATGCCGAGATTCTGGATGCCAATCACCCATGGAGAGGCGGCGGATCCAGCAGCAGAGGATTCGATGGCGCTTATGAGACGAGGGTCGTTTGGGGAGCAGATGATACTCACGGCGAGGACCCCAATGACGTAAAAGCCGACGATACGGTAGAAGGTCATTTTGACGACGCGGGGAATCGTGAAGCGCGGGTTTTCGATCTCGCCGGCGGCCAGGGCTGGAAGGTCGGGTCCAGCGACGGAGAAAGCGGCGTACACAACAACGGAGAACCAGCCCAGGAAGCGGCCGGTGTTGCCAGTGGTGTAGTATTCGTACATGACGCCGTGTGTTTAATTGCGGAAGCCGTAGATGTCGTGGTGGGGATTTCCGCCGAGCATGGTGATGAAGGTCAAGAGGACCAGACCGATGAGAAGGAGGATCTTGGTGGAGGCCATGATGAATTCGGTCTCTCCATAGTATTTTACGGCGACGATGTTCAGGAGGAAGCATACGACCATGGCCATGGCGACCCAGACGGCTGGGTTGACGCTGGTGTTCCAGTACTGCATCACCGTCGCCACAGCGGAGTACTCGGTGCAGAGAAGCATGAGTCCGCCGTAAAAGTATACCCAGCCCCTACAGATGTCAGTGTATGAGTTGGAAATGTCTCGGGCTCACGTACATTGCAAATCCGAAGGCTGGATCGATGTACCGCGCTGCTAGTTCGAAGATAGATCCTCGGATTGGCAGGTAGGCGCACATCTCACCCACGCATAGGTTTGTGGGCCAGATGAACAGAACGCCATAGAAGAGATACCCCAGGAACAGGGACAGAGGCCCGGCATCACGGAGGTAAGAACCGATACCGACAAATAGGCCTGTTCCAATCGATCCCCCAATGGCCATCAACTGCACATGGCGAGAAGAAAGACCACGTTTAGTTTCGTGGTATTCAATGACCGTTCCATTTTCTGTATGGGAGAGGCTATCGCCTCCGGATTCTCTGGCTGTGCTAGTGACTGAAGTTGACTTTCCCATGGCTAATTCTGACGAAACCGTGGATGGGAACGGCGATGCCACCCATTATTAACTCTGTCGTTCGTCTGCATTGACGGCAGGAACTGATAAGTGTCGCTCAATTTGCAGATGGAGATAATGGAAGGTTTCCGCGAAGAAGTCTGGGGAAGCACATTGGGTGATGCTATTCGTGGAGGAGCAGGACACGGATCGCGATAAGAGGCTGGATCGTTGGACGATCAATCAGTTGGACGGCCGATGTTATCAGAGTTATCACTTTGCCGGAAGAGGGAGGAGATGGCGATGCCAATCTCGCCAAGTGATAAGCTCACGCGCCCTCGTTCCCGTTTTTATCTGCATTTCAACCGTGATCGTCTGCGAAGATTGATTCTTCACTGATGGATAAGAACATGGCATTTCGATGACCTTATACACTTGTCGGAAAGCAGGCGCGACAAGCTCAACCGATGCACAAAAATGAATAATGAATGGCTGATGAAATCCCAGTATAAAAGACCCAGCATCACCTAAAGCGGAAGACGCCAAAGGATCTACCCACTGGTGTCATGGGTTTCCAGTGCTTCAACGTTTCTGACAAACATGTTATGCCTGACTAGTCTGCCGCTTGCCGGGTGCACTGGGTAAGATCGAGCGACTATAGAAAGATTGCAGAAATGATGAGTATTACTATGTATCCTCAAAGCTAGTCTATATTCACTTGCTCATATTTCTTCAAGACCTTCCCCGCTGTTTACCCCAGATTACCCTCGCTCGGGCTTGGAAGGCTCCTGTGACTTCCCCTCTTTTCTTCGGGATTTGAATCAACGCCATCCTTGTGGCTTCGGAGTAGCGGTGCAAAGCATACCGACTTGCATACTGACTCAATGATGCAAACGCTTGGCTTGCTTTATTCATTCTTACATTGGCTCTCGTTGCCCAATGGCAAAAACCCCCCGGATGCAAAGAACCACCAACGCCCGACGCAACGCCATGAGATCTGCATATATGCATCGACTTTACAAGCAGGACTTGTTTTCACCATTTTTCCCGTTGGTGGAATCATTTCATTCCATCTGCCTGGACTACCGGGGAATATGCGATATAAAGCAGTTGGTGGTGTCGGTCACAATATGACTTGCGCTGGATAACCGACAAGCATCCACGGCAGTCACAATGAAGCTCTCTCCTCTTTCCTTATTCTTCACCTCCATTTTTGCTCTTCCATCTCACCTCACGCCGAGGAATGATATACCTCCTTTCTTCCTCCTAGCCGGCGACAGCACCACCGCCGTCCAATCCAGCGGCGGAGGCGGCTGGGGCGACGGGTTCATCAACACGACACTCCACAAGGGAGCCAAAGGTATAAACTACGGTCACAACGGAGCCACCACTGTCAGCTTCCGCTCCGGAGGCGACTGGGCCACCGTCCTCTCCAAGGTCGCAGAATACAAGTCCGACTACCGAGCCTTTGTGACCATCCAATTCGGACACAACGACCAGAAGCCCGCCGCGAATATCTCCTTGGCTGAATACACCAGTAACCTAGAACAATTTGCAAAGGATGTCAAGAATGCAGGAGGCACACCTATTCTGGTCACGCCATTGTCCCGTCGCAACTACGACAATTCCACTGGCACACCACTCGTGATTGAGAATTTGGCGGACCAGAGAGCGGCGACTATTGATGCTGCAAAGATTACAGACACATCTTATATTGATTTGAATAAGGCAAGTACGGATTACTTGAATAGTATTGGGCCGGCCGATGCGTATACGTATAACTTGGCGTCGGATGATTATACGCATCTGAATGGGGAGGGAAGCATAGTGTTTGGGGGGATGGTGGCTTCGTTGATTGATCAGGATTTCGCAGAGTTGAAGAGTGATGGGTATGTTAAGGTGAATGCGAAGCTTTTGGCAGCCTTGGAGGAAGGCAAGTACTATTGGCCCTAAATTTCAGGGTTGTTTGGTGGAACTGGATGTTCCTAGTTTCTTGATGGAATGTGAATCTGCATGTGTTGCACTTATATAGTGTTTTTACCCATGATCAATGGTTGGTAGATGGTATCTACCAAGCAGAAAAGGACAGTTGTTACAACTTTATTCTGAAATATCTCAGTGTGGCATATGATCTGGCCAACACCATGTTATGACCAGCGTGATTCTATTATTGCTGTTCCAGTCCCTTTCAACTCCCACAATGGCATGCTGCTTTGTTAGCCTACATAGGCGATCTATACACAAAGTGCATCTGGTCTTCACACAACGCCTCTGTAGCTCACAGTCAAAACGCCTGTGCATCCTCCGTGCCATTTAGAGCCAACTGAATATATCCTTTGAATCGAATAACCTCCGATGGTCTGCTCTACTGACTCAGCTTAGCAAAATAGAACGGTCTAGTGTAACATCCTTAATCATATAGACCTGCTTGCTGTGGAATTAATATAAGCTATCAGTATGTCATTGTCATGAGACTCGTACAAGCCCTCGAGGCCTACATTTCCTGTTGTTATCTGCTACTGCATCTCATGAGAACAGGACATTTCCCTTTTCAACCTGCTTGGGGCATTTGGCCCCCCACAATATACATCAGTCTGCCTGAGGCAGTAGTATTGCTATCTGGAGCTGGTGTCAAAGACGGTGCAAATATGAGGCTCCTTACGTGCAATGATGAGTTATATGCATGCAACTAGAGTCTGCACAAATAAATAATGTCACTGCAGCAATATCTCACGAGCATTCGGATGATAAGAGCGTTGAAAGGATCTATGATCCGCCTACGTAATGAGCAGTGAACGAACGCATGTGATATTCATGGATGCTGTGAAAATAAGGCTTTGCAGTACGACGTATGCCCTAAGAGCTCTACACTTGAATGTATTGAACAGACCTTCATACTCCATTAGCAGGTCTTCTCAGACGTTCTGTTTCATTGCAACATTGGAACCCTTCACCTCCTCCCAGCAAAGTCTCTAAAGACCGTGACCTCTGCACCCATACGCACAATATCCAATCACAGCACCACGGTCGAAAAACAATGACAAACAAGCTTCTGCTGCCAGATGACATACCTGCGCAGCGCGTCAGCCCAGATCTATAGCACGGCGAAATACAGTCTTCTATGTATGCAATGTTATGTTAATTATTGCATGGGTTCTGCAAGGTTCGGTGTCAGCAGACAATCCTCTGCAGCGAAAGTAAATGGAAGACTGTCTGGTAGACACAGGAAGTAGCAGTAAGTATAGGCTACCGGAATGGTACTTAGGAGAAGGAAATGTCGAACTCCCCGAGAAATCCCTCAACGCACCACCACCACCATCATCATCACCAGACTCAGCTGGCACACACCACACACCACACGCCCAGCTTCAGCTACTTACTGATCGGCAATCTTCATCCGACATCACTCAGTTACATTGACCAAAAATAACAGCAGCGAAAGAAAAGGGTCATCTCAGACGCCAGGGAAGGAGGCAAACCCCGAATCAAGAAGGTGACAGTGAAGTCTAGAGTTCGGGTGTGCATGAGACGAGACAATAATAGCAATAGCAGCAGTCCAGTCCAGCCAGTCCCGAGTACTCAGGTAACTAACTAACTAACTTACTAGTAAATTAGTGAGCTAACTACTAAGTTAGTAGCAGCGCGCTCTCTCGGCCGTCGCATCGAATAACTACTCAGAAAGGATCGGCTTATCTCCGTTCCTCTTGATTGCATACAGCCGGTACCCATACAATACTCAATACATGAGTGTCTGTCACTCAGTGTCTCACCCATTCTTCACCAGGCATTCAGTCAGTCAGTCCCCTATAAGCCCCCCGGAATATAGCATTAAGTAGCAGTTGAAATACCACTTCCTCACGGAACTCCCCCTTACTCCCTACACTACCACACACTAACTCAACATCCGTCATCCGATCAATCACACAACCAGCGACCCCATCCAGTAACAAGTAAAGACAGTAGCGTAACTTCGCGTTTCGGATGCAGGGACCACCAAAAGGCCTGTGCGTGCACCGGTCGACTTTTAGTAACTCTGTAGCTAAACTGCAGTAAGAAGGTAGGTGTGGGCTGGTTGAAAATGACGGGCGGCCGGGGCGGGCGCGCGCGGACGTGGATACCTTTCCTTACCTCCTACTATCTATCTAGACTAACTGTTATTTATTTTCTCCCTTCCTGCAACGCGTTCTGCACGGCGGCCCGTGGCACGGGAAGATTTAGAAAGGCCAGCGCTATGGCGCTAGGTTAGTTCTTCTTTGGTGTGAATGTGGGTGTGTGTGTGCCTATCAGTGTTGCTCCATGCGAACGGAATGACGGATGGGTACCTCGGAAAGGAAAATAGCAGTTGGTGGGGAGCTATGCAGATAGGTGTGGTAGATAGTGACTTACCTATCTATCTACCTAGGAGTTCAGCCATTTTTTTTTTTTTTTTCGCACAATGGGATTGAGTGAGTGAGTGAGTGGTTGGGACATTAGTCTTTCTAATGGATTATGGATTTACTTTACGACACACACATGCTTTGTAAACACGTATTAAGAAGAGAGGAAAAGGAAAAAGTATTATCACATCCCACACAACCGAGGAACTAGAAACAGAAAAAAAACAACATCTGAAAAAAGTATATGGAGCAACTGATCCGACACCAACCGTTCTGGCCGAAAATATCCCTCATCCGAGCAGCAGCAGCAGCAACAACAAGACAGCAAGACAGCAAGCAAGAAACCAGCATAATCCCGTTCCCGTAGCGTGCAGGATCGTCAAGGCTCAGCCGCAGTTCCGCTCCACCACTCCACAGCTGGTTGGAGTAACACAGTGAAAGAATAATACATCTAACCAGTGTAGTGAAACTTACAAATACTTTACGAGAACCCAGAAGAGTCTTCTCGGAGTAACTGCGGATATTACATCGAGTATAGATACGATGGCGCTTGCATTGCTAGTAGAAAATTACTAGGGGAGATACAAAACAGGTTTAGCTGGCGGCAAGCCTAGCAAAGCAATTATTGAGAGAAAAAAAAAAAATAGGAAATAAAAAAAAGGGAAAAAAAGCAATGGTCGAATTGCGCGCTAACTTCAATTACTTTTGCTTGCTGCATAACGCTACTGTAGGTCTTATGTGCCTAGTGCGAGACCGCGTAGCACCAGGAACGGTCGAGTCAGCTTTTCAATGGTCTTGTGTGTTAGGTGCTACTGGGAGAATCCCTGTCTAGTAAGTAATGGGTGTGAAGGTGGCGGGTACTGGTTGTTAGTAGTGGTGTAGTGGGGTATTATTTTTGTGTGTGTGCGCGCGCTTTCCACCATATTTTCTGCAATGCTGTGGTTTGAGAAATATGTGCAGTGAGTGGCAACTGGCAATTGGCAACTAGCAAGGTTACATACATATCATGCAACAATCAGGCCGAGCTTTCTCCACAGATGGGGGAGCGCGTACATATTGCATACATGGGAGGGAAGGTGGATAGTTAGTGTGCGTATAGTAGTTGCTAATAATCACATCTTACTAGGCCGGTTGGGGTCATTGAAGTGCAAGTCAGCGAGGTATTATTATTACTTACTCCAACCACCTGATTGTTGGTCACGTATCTAAGTATTAAATTAAATCACACTCCGAAGCCAGAGGTGCATTATTAATCGCGACACCATTGCACGTTGCTACTTTAGTGCTACTTAAACTAACTATGTCTGGGCCTAGATTATTATCGCGATGGTGTGGGAGACCGACTGGAATACAACTGGATACTTCTTCCTACACGCCAAACCAATGTGGAGGGGAGGGCCTCCCGTGCCAATTGCAGTGTGGAGGGATGCCCACCAGCCAGGTGTAACACTACATTATGACGGACTGCCATTACTGGCTGCTGCATAGAGTGGAGACCAGCACTGGTGGGGTGGGATAGTACTAGTAGTAGTAAGAAAGGACAACTGCAGTGACAGCGGGCCTATCATCATCCCGGTCCTTAATTTACTCTTACTCGGCCATTGGGGGATTGTCGGAGCTACTAGGGAATGGCGTGCTACTACTTCAGTCGCCCGTAATTAGGGACTTATATCCGGCCATCTGATAGCAAATCAGCCCTAGAGGCATTTCGTGCTCCCGTCCAGTCGACCAGAGCATGTAACAGCTGTTAAGCACCTAGATCAAGGGCCCATTGTATCCCAATGTCGACCAGGGCTACTTGAATATCCCTCATCGTACAGCCTGCGCAGAATGATGATTGGCATCCCTGAAGTACCGCGAAGACAGCACGCGTGAGATCCCAGTGAGTACAGGCTGAGTACCTCGATCCAGTGCTTACAGCCTTATCCTGTAAGTATTATTACTTTTGTGACGAGTCCCACGGCCCGTGCAGAAGTTATCTCGCGCCCATGATGCCATCTTGCATATCCGCTCGAGCAAAGACCACCAAGGCGCCTGTATTCCACGATCGCCATGCACGCCGTCGGAGATTTTTTTTTTTCTTTCTCTCTCAGGCTGCCTGTTACTCGCGTCGCGCAGGATCGACAATGCGATTGTTCTATGCTTCGTATGGATGGGTAGCCGTCCGTACGGAGTACAGGAGGGCTGATGACGCTGCAGTGCACCATACCGGATCATAGTGGTCCGTGACACCCGTTGCTAGATCCCTGTCTGTATCCTGTTGCCAAGCCTGCTCAGATTACTAGGTTGATGCTTCATGCGCCTATCATCTGTGCAACACGTCCTCTGGATGCGTCTCAGATCGTCGGCATCTTCGCATATGTACACGCTCGAGTCGGGCGGCTCTAGGTATCCGCTTCGCTAGTTGGCGTCTGTATAGCACAGCGTTCGTCGCAACTTGCGGAAAGGCAGGGTGTCCCCATTTCTTGTTTTCTTATTATTCTGGGAATGCACGGGGGCTGGTGAATCTCATATACATCCAGTGGTCAAGTAACACGATCGCACCCGCCCCTAATCCACAACGCCCTCGGGCCCGCAGTCTCCAGTCGAGCACTAAGGAGGCACTGGTAGGAGATCTTCCGCAACGGGACCCCAGACTGGTTAGTTTCAGATTACTCGGTTTTTGACAGGTGTACTAACGTGTCGTTCCTCGGTAACCTTGACGGCGGATCGAAGGTTGCGGCAACGCCAACAAGTTGATTGGTATCTCCGCATTTGGTACCTGTATATAAGGGGATGCTAGCGTCCTGCCGGATACCCATTTCTTTCTCGGGCTTCAGCAGTAGTAGCTGGTCCGGGTGGTGACGGTGCGCATGTGTAGATCCAAGGGTATTGCTTACCTGCTCTATCGATACGAATAATACCATCGGTGCACCACATGACACCGCACTAAAGGACGCTTGCGCTGTCGGTGGCCTCAGGTGTCGAGGGTCTGTGGTCAGCCAGCAAGAGGGACCGTGCGATGAAGGAACTGACTTCGGAAGGGTGTAAGAACCGCTGGCGAGCTCAGCTCACTACTACGTGTCCCGCTATCCATGGGTGAGATGAATTATGCTTCGCACGAGCCATACTGCTCGTTTCGAGACGGTTGCGCAACCCTGCTCGACAACGTCCGCAAGCTGTGATGCTAGGATTCTGGTCGTTCTCCTACTGGCTTCCATTGCAATACTTGGACTGGAAATATTGCATGGCCACATTGACGTATCGCAGAGGGACCATGGGCCCCGTGCGAGATCCATGCATGGAAGCTGTTCTCAAGCATCTTCTCTGCCAGCAATTAGTACTCAACTTGCTGTCTGCAAGCCCATGGACGTCATAACGTGGGATGTCGCCAGACATGCTCAACCAATCAGTCGTTGCAGTACTAACGTCGGCAGCAAAGGAGGGCAGCTAAGCCTGGATAAATGGGGTCCTCGTGCAGCTCCGTAGGTTACCATGCAACACCATCACTTAACCCTACCAGTAATCTTGGTTCCATACGGGCTTCAAATTATGTTAGTAACGCAGTAAGTAGATGGGATCATTTTTTGTGCGCTGGTCTTTGTGAGTAGTTAGCACTCTATAGAAATATCAGCAGCTCCAGCAGGGCGAGCTCTTGTATGCCGTTCGGCGTAGAACATTTGTTTTTAGACCGCGCTATTCTTGTCATGACTGGAATACACCGGTTCAAGGCACGCAGAATGTATCTGCTCGATTCTTTGAGATACTAATCTCGATATTGCGAGTCCTGTCCTAAATCAGTTCTCATTGCGATTGCACAGCGGTCGTGCGACCAACAACCGCCCGTTAAAGTTGACTGTCAGCAGGTCCGCAACCATCCGCACTCCCCCATGCACATCCTGGATAGAAACTAGACGGTCGCTTGTGCATAATGCGCGGACACTTTAATTACTGTTGTGTTTGGGCCTGCCTCGGAATGGCGACGATACCCATGCTCAGACAATTTAGCATGAAAGTCAAACTCGCGTGCGCCAGTGACCTCCTCAGAATTGGAGACAAGATTGGCCAATGCGACCAAACGTGGGCACGATACTTTGAGGGATTACTCGTGTTGGTTGGCTGTCCGTTCCCGGAAATCGAGAGCGAACGCGCTGTTCCTAGGGAACCGACCCCAGTTGCTTCAGGGGACGCCAGTCTTTGGGGAAAGCGACCAAGATGATCAGCCATGGCCGGCGCTGAGATCCAATCAACGGGCGGTGGAATGTCGGAAGCTACTAGTGCAACCGATGAGCTCCGGATTATTTCGCCCATAGCCTCTGCCAAGTCTTCATCGTCGTCCGCTTGACAGGGAAAGGTACTCCACTAGGCAACGATCAACTGCCAGATGGGGTCACGGAAGGCAGAGGTGAAACCGAACAAAAAAAGAAGTCGTCGATTAACCTTAGCAGCTGGAACCAAAATTGGACACCGCCCGATGGAAGCGAGGAAGGATGAACCTAGGTAGTTGGATGCCTAGGCGCATCTCTGTTCCATCGTGGAAGCAGGATGGCTGGGGTATCTAGCCGTCATTCTCGCCCTCGGGAGTTGTACGGTCCCAGCGACTTTGACTTCCCAACAATTTGTTAACACGACGAGGTATCTGCTTGGTACCATACTTTTCTCTCTCGTCTCGGTCTCTCCAGCAAGCAATTCGTCTGCTTCCTCCTTTACAGCCGGTGGAATGACCTCAGGGGTCCCACCCGCAGCAACGGATCGAACGGATACGATTGGCAAAATACCCGCTGGATCCAGGGAAATCCCCCACACGAACCTTGAACCTTCTCATTCGTCCTCCCCCACAAAATGGCGCAGGCTCGGTTTTCCATGCTGCGGTCCGGTTGTGAGACTAGTGCAGGAGATAGACACACTAGAGTGCTCCAGCTCGCAACCGGACCTTCCTTTTCCTGCTCCCAACGTCCTCCCTGCGAAATTGGCGCCAGCTGCGATTAATTACGATCAGTTCCATTGTTTCCCTCCATTACCCTGATTGGGGGGTTTTTGAAGCGGCGCCAGCCGCCACCACATATGTAAGCCGCTGGCAGGCCAGGCAGCCCACCGACTCGGGCGTAGCCGTCGAAGGTTTGATGGTTTCCTCAAACCAAGCGACCCGTCGACGTGGTTATTTTCCCTCTTTGTCCCTACCCCAGACCGATGCTCTGGCTGGGATCTCATTCCCATCGTGGCTCCTGCTAAAGGCGGAGGCAATAGTGGCCGATCCGGGCAGTCACGAGGTCCGGGGTTGGATTCCACCCTGAACTCTGGCTCCTGCCGAGAGAATGACCCAAGAGGCTAAGACGGGCCAAATAACGGCCTGGCGACCGAACCGGTATGGGTTCTCTTACCATATCTTACCCTTTCACCAGCCCCAATGTTACATGTGCGCCGTATCAATAATTACCCCAGGTCGCACACCAAAAAGCAGGACCGGCGACAATCGGCCTGCAGCCCGTGAGCCTGCCTGATCCAGTTAGCCTGCATACTAGTCCGGTAGCCTGAAGCGCCCTTGACTTTTAGTAGTGACACACCACTCACCGGTAATCTAATCTGCATTACATTTGCCGATGATAAGTGACAGTGGTCGGTTTGTGGAAAAAGGTAACAGTGTAAGTAACGCGAGATAATCATCTATCTAGAGTCTCTTGGCTAGCAGCGCATGGTGGATTCCCTTATCTGCCAACGCCTTTGAGATACTTTGGATGCCTCAGGACCCTGAAGAGTGCCCGATGTTCTAGAAATGCAAGGCTTGTTTTTCCTCTCTTAAGTTGCCATTGCCTGTTTTACCTCTTTCACAATACGTGACAGGCCCGATTGAACCTAATTACGACACACAGCCCGGTTTAGATTGTAGCCTGGATACGATGTTCTGGCATGCATCATGAGCTTCTCGTTTATGCCGTAACTTGGATCACCTGGATCAACTAACACTGCAGTAAATTGGCCCTAGTCTTCAAGTGCTGTTCTGTGCTCATCCTCTGAACTCCGGCACCGTTTCTAGAGATCTTGAGCGACAAGCGCAACAGCTCCAGCTTGGATGAATTTGAAATGGAAACCCTTCCATCAAGCCACAGCGAGCATTCGAGCTCCCACATCCCGTTATCCATTAACTACAAGATTAAGCAGAGTAAGCAAGAATACCAAGGGCTCTCAACAAGCAAGAAGGATACTGTCTCTAACAAGCGGCAACGCAATTACTCTGAAAGTAAAACACCACTTCTGCAGGCCTCGATACCAGACCAAGCACTTCGTGTGCTTTCATAGAATGTTAAGGCAGGTCGAGAATAACTATCTGGTTCCTAGAGCTAGTGCTTCGTATCCCATGTCTCATTTGAAGTTTCACCCAAGTCAATGGGAGGAAATTGATCATCTTGAGGAGACCAGCCATGCACGACTAGTCTTGCCCCAGGTCTATTTCTTCTTCTGTCTTCTTGTTATTGCCTGGTACTCGGCCGTGTCTCCAGCCGAAAGGGCCATCGTTGACATTCTAGACGACGGTGTGTGTCGTAATTAGGATCATTCCACCGGACATCGGACGAGCTCAGATGGCCAGGTCGCGGTCTACGTGGATAGCTTTTCCTTTCTTTCTCTCTCTCTCTCAAGCTAAATAGCCAGCTAATTAGCTTACGAGCAGGGGAGTAACTCTAGATACTACCTACCCAGGGAGTAAGTGATCGGAGAGGGCGTGCGTGACGTGCGAATACCGAGGAGGTACAGAATTACCATACGTGCGGCCGGGATGTGACCGTATTGTCAGTTGGGCTGGGACAGCATCCACACCCCCGTGACTGGGTTGTGGGGCCCGCTCTCTGGCTCTGGCCCTGTCATGGCCCATGCTTTCCCTCCCAAAGCACGCCGGACCAGAGCCACCCGGCCCACTCCGTTCCCCGTCACGGCCCATTATTGGATGGACGTCTGTGACTGAAGCTGGATGCTGTTTCGTGGGTTTGTCCCGCAGCATTCGCCGGGGTTAGTTATTTAGACGGGCCTCTCACTGCCCACGCTGGTAAAAACGTAGGTTGCGAAAAAAGAAAATAAAGGAAAACTAGAAATGGAAGGGGAAAGGAAAGAAAAAAAAAATAAAACTCACTTCGGTCTTGGTAGCTAAGGTGGTAAGTAAGTAGGTTGTAGTCCGGCCGTCTTTAGTTGGGAGGCTAGGCTGGTCTGTTCGTAACCGGAAGAGCGATCCCAATACTTCAGGAAATAATATGGAGTAATAAATCCAAACGAAATGACATATCTGGCAATTGGAGATTCTAGCTAACTAGTTGGTTTAGTTGGTTTAGCAGGTGAAAGGACCGGACCTGCTTACGACATACCATCTACCTGCCACTAGATAACCCGAGCAGCTTCTCCGGAGCATGTAAAAAGTTTCAGTGAGTGAAAAGAAAGACAAGAAAAACAACCACTGCGAGCGATCCTGCTAGTTGTTCAGTCCTGGTGCTCCCCGTGCAACAGCAGACTACTAGGGCGTTTCCTTGCTGCGGCAGAGCCACTAACTGCTGCGGTTCCTGCTCGTACTGACACCCCTCGGAGAGTACAGCCTTACACCACCCAATCCACTCCCATCCCCATCCCCATCCCCATTCATCAGTCATCCTTCCTTCCTCTCACCTTCCATCCCTCTTAATTTATCTATCTAACCACTACTACAACTACTGTTCTCTTTCTTTTTTACACTTTCATATTACACCCCTCCTCTCTCCCGATCCCCAACCCAAAGTGTGCCTTCTTCTTCTTCTTCCTTCTTGTTAGCTGCTTGTCGGACCACATACCGCTCTCTTGTCTGCTTATCAGCAATTGATTGAGCAGCAGCTAGCCAGCCCAGCACACCCGCCCATAACTCCAGTCGGCTATCTCCGGCTTATCCACCGACGACTCACACCACCATCGCGGCGCATGCCCGCGCAACTCACCTCCATCCTATCCTATCCCGCAAATTTCGTCTTAGGAATCCAAGACCAATGGTCTGTGGTATTCGTGGGTGATTCAGTCCATCCTCACGAGTCGTTCCGTGTGCAGAGCTTGGTGAGTAGCCACCCGTGGGTTTCCCCTGGAGCCTGGAAACTCAACCCCTGCTGATTACAGTTGCTAATCCCGAGATCGATTGCCTCCCCCCCAGGAACGGAGCCACTTCGCCACCCACCCACTTGATCTAATTCCTTTGTAACGGTGATCCTGTTAATCGTCTACACATTATCAAGTTATCGCCGCCCACAATTCCCATTCCTTTAACTTCTTATAAAATTACACCCCGAATAACGGCCTTCTTGCTTGTCTTCTCCCCGGCTTCTGTCCTCACTTGGTGAGCTTCCCGTGGCATTGCTGCATTCTATTCGCTGCATCTTTTGTCCGGACAACGAACCAAGCTAACTCTGATCTCATTGAATCAGAATGCTGTCAATGTCGCATCTCTTTCGCAACCTTCACCAGTAGCCTCCTTTCGTCACGTCTACTGTCCTTCCTCTGTTGGCAGTGCTTTTGTCGTCTTCAGCTACCTTATAAACCCCCGCGTCGTGCTATTACAGACGACCCCGCCCCCGCAAACCAGTGCTTTCGTAACTGGTTCCCGCAAAACAGAAGAACGTTCTTAGGATGTTACTAGATACAATGGTCGGCCAGGAATCGGCCACGAGCCCCAAGGTGGAGGACCTTGCTAGTATTAGCGAAATCCCGGTCGATGTGCCTGGTGAGCTTATGTTCTTCGAGGTGTATGCTATCTATCTGTGAATCCTAACGAGAGCAGCTGCGCCCAAAGAGGACTCCAAGGAAACTAACGGCCAACCTGACTCGAAAAATACTGTGCCTCCCCCCAAGACTGACAAGCCCCGCCCTCATGGGTGTACGACCTGTGGCCGGTCTTTTGCTCGATTGGAACACCTCAAGCGCCATGAGCGCTCGCATACAAAAGAAAAGCCCTTTGAATGCCCCGAATGCTCGCGCTGTTTCGCTCGTCGGGACCTGCTCCTCAGGCATCAGCAGAAACTACACATGACTACGACTCCATCATCACGCCCCAGAAATGGCCGAAGAGAGAGCACGGGAGGCGCATCGACTGGAGCGAATCGGGTTCGCAAGAACTCAATCGCTAGTAACTCGAGTAACATGCGTCCCAGAGCAAACACCATCAGTCATATTGATGGGGCTTCCTTGGGAATGGTCAACACCTCTAATCCCCCACCAGCGCCAGCTGGCCACTCGGGTCATACTTACCATGCAAGTATTGGCTCCGCGTCAGTGGGTTCAAACCTGGATTTCCGAGGTTACTCTTCTGGTCACCATCCTTCTATGAATGGCTTGACAAAACTAGAAACATCGGGTTTGCCCATGGATATTTCTGGGGGGCTTCGCACTGCTCCTGTCTACGGTAGCTTTGACATCAATGTGCCTGACATGTTCATGGGCCATGGCAGTACCATCAATCCAGCGCAGCTTCACTTCGGAGGCTCACCCCAGACCTACGGGAACGACTCGCCATCCTCCCCTTATACTCATGGTGCGCATCATATGCCTCCTGCGGATGGGATGATGGAAGACGATTTCAGCTTCGATTGGATGAACACCTTTGACCCTGCTATGCCTATGGGTAAAAGCGCTGATTCAGCTATCGATGAGTCGTCCCCTTCCGCAATGAGCACGGGCAGTCAGAGTGGAATCAGCGAAGCCATGATGGATGGCTCCCATCGTTATTCTATCTCGTCGAGCAGCTGGCACAACCCGTTTCCCCCACATTCAGCGGCAGCCTCCGGCCAGTTCCCCCTCGAGTACACCTCGTCCAGCTTCAACGATATAGGCATTCCACCGGAAACTGTTTCGCCGAAGTCATTGATGGCTCAGAATCCTTTTGCAGAAACATATGCAACTCCTCCATCCATGACTTCCGTTGGCCAGCCCTTGATGGGTGGACATTCGCAGAGTATGTTTTCATCCTCTATGGCAACAAACGGAGAATCTCCTAATCCTTTCAACCTCCCTTTCGCGAATAGTGCCCTACGAACTCACCATTCCCCAAGCTCCACGGATACCTTTACAGACTCCACCCGACAGGCTCTATTAGCAAGCATGGCGCGCCCTACCAGTCTCAATCACCGCAAGTATTCCCAGCCCGCCAGCGGCATGATTCCCTGTCGCGATCTTTTCTCCCGTTCTTCCACCTTCACCGGCTCCGGTCAATTACCTAGCACCTCGGACATGCAACGCTACATCTCAGCTTACATCACCTATTTTCATCCACACATGCCGTTCCTTCACATCCCGACCCTTGACTTTCAAGCGCCCGAGTACACCAACAATCTGCGGACCCCCAGCGGCCATCTCAATCTCAGCTCTACCGGCATCACCGGAGGTGGCGGCTCCTTGATCCTCTCCATGGCAGCAATTGATGCCCTCTACGAATTCGATACTGCGGCCTCCAAGGACCTGTTCGAGGCTGCCAAGAAAATGATTCAACTCTACCTAGAAGAGCGACGTAAAGCGGACATGTCGACCCCGGTCGGGCGCCACAGTAACGCTCGTGACAGCTCGGTGCATAATACGCCACTCTGGTTGGTTCAAGCGATGCTCCTCAACGTCATCTATGGGCACACCTGCGGTGACAAGACGTCTGCTGATATTGCGAGTACTCATTGTGCGGCGTTAGTCAGCCTTGCCCGGGCGGCTGAATTGAATCGCCACCTAGATGCAAAAGATCTCTCTCAGGATTACCTCACTGCGGGACTTGCTAGCCGCGTTGGTACTGATTCCGACAGTTGGGGCCAGTCACCAGCCGGGCAACCCAAAGAGAGAAGGGACTGGTTGGAATGGAAGATCGTAGAAGAGCGAAAGCGCACTCTCTACGCAATATTTGCTCTTTCATGCTTCCTTGTGTCAGCTTATAATCATGCACCCGCTCTTACCAATTCTGAAATTCGCCTCGATCTGCCCTGCGAAGAGGATCTCTGGGCTGCCGAATCCCCCCAAGCGTGGAAGAAGCTAGGTGGACAGTCAACGCCAAAGAAAGGGCTGTCCTTCTCCGCCGCTTTGACTACGCTTCTTACCGCCAGTCAACGAGAGCAGCAATCGTCCACGACACAGGCCAAAGTATCTGGGAACGATGTTTCTGAGGAATCTCCTAGTAGCGAACTCAAACCTAGCACTTTCGGCTGCTTGGTTTTGATATATGCTCTTCACAACTACATCTGGGAGACTCGTCAGCGCCACATAGGCCGGCAATGGACTTCACGCGAGAATGAGGCCATGCAAGCACATATCGAGCCCGCACTGCGCGCCTGGCAATCCGCTTGGGCCAGCAATCCTGTGCATAGCTTGGAACGCCCAAACCCTTTCGGCGCAGGGCCTCTTTCTGCTGACAGTATCCCACTGTTGGATCTCGCGTATGTGAGGTTGTTCGTTAATTTGGGGAGATGCAAAGAAGCATTCTGGCAGCGTGATTGGAATGCCATGTCAGACGAGCTTGCGCGTGGAACAGGGGTGGATCATCCCATGGACGATATACCATCTGATGTGCTGGACCCTTCCATCACTGAAGGTTCCAACCACATTGATCATCGGCGCGATTCTGTGGCAGACCTGGGTGTAGGTGATCTTGCTATATCCAGTACTCCCACCCAGGATCATCCTTTGCAAACTCTCATGGGCGTATACCGGCCTGGCCAAACCAAACGTGAAAAGCATTTGCGCAAGGCTGCCTTCTATGCGGCTGACTCCATATCGATGTCCGATCAACTGGGGAATACCTTCGCTGAATTCACCTGCCGGGAGCTGCCCATTCAGTGTGCCATGTGCACTTTCGACTGCGCTCAAGTGCTGGCAGAATGGATCACTACTGTCCAAGAACGCGTCGGCCCCTACCTAGGTGTTCTTGGCCAGGATGATGTCGACCTCATGCAAGCCACCAACCTTCTCTTACTTGAGGAAGAGGATTGTAAACTGTTG